GGCCGGGGCGGGGGGGGGGCAGATCACTGCTTGGGAACTGACTGGGCATCAGTCAGCGAGTGGTGAGAAATTGCATTGTGCATCACTTGTTTTGTATATTCCCATTCTTTTATTGTTATTATTATTATTATTATTATTATTATTATTATTTTCTTCCTTTCTGTCCTATTAAACTGTCTTTATCTTGACCAATGAGTTTTACTTTTTTCTGATTCTCTTCCCCATCCCACTGGAGGTGGGAGGGAGTGGCTGCGTGGTGCTTAGTTGCTGGCTGGGGTTAAACCATGACACTTGCCCAAGAAAGAGTCTGTGTTACAGAATGAAGTAGTCAAGGTTAACTGTTACATCTTCCTGAAAACATACAGGTAACAGGATGGCTTGCTAAATAACAGCACAAGCACAGGTGATGTCAGCCTGGCCACTTTTATTATTGGGACAGCAAAGTATAGGAGAATCGCTGAGTCAGTCATAATTATCCAGTAAATGAATACAGTATTGCAGAGTCCCTTTTCATGCTTTTTATGAATGATATAATTCCACTTTGTAGGCCAAGGAAAAAAGCATCTCCCACTGATTTGTTCCTTTTTACCTAACAGCTCACTGTTTCTGGTAGCAACTTCCACATTAACCAAAGCATATTTCCCTTTCTATAAAAATCTCTGTGCTGAATGAAGTCAAACACACATTTGTCTCATCTCAGTTGACACTCAAAGTGACGACTTGTGCTACAGCTTCAAGATGATGAACCAAGACAAGCTTTGGTGTAGCATTTTTTGGTTTAAATACCTTGGGAAAGGACTTGCTTAGTTAGTAGTTAATGTGCAAACTTAAAATGAGTTGGAAACTTTATCTTGGTCATTTGTAGGCTGACTCTTTACCTGTCTTGGACTTTAAACTAGGAAAAGGGAAAATGTTACATACAACATTTATTTACCACTACTTTGCCTATATATCTTGCATTTGATAGTCATAAGGAAGAGCCAGGCAATTGGAAGACGTGGTTATCTAGTACCATTTTGTATCTGAGGTTGGATGAAATTACTCTGCGTCATGATGAGGAGCAGACAGAGCTCCAGGCAGGCAGAGAAACTCTTTTTCTCAAACATACACCTTTACAAGATGACATACCCCTTGTCTGAGGAAAGGGTCAGCTTTGTTGTTCACTGAAGGGGAGTTTAGTGGAAATGATGGGGAGCTATGAGGAGGGATTAGTCAATTGCATCTATTTGAGGGGCAACAATGTAGACTGTGATTCTCACTTTATCCTTTCTCCAAGGCAATCAAAAGAGAAAGCCCACTCAGAACTAGGCAATAACATTTTCATAACACAGGCCTGTTTTTGTATGGAAGGTTGTCATGGTTTAACATGAGCCGGCAACTAAGCCCCACACAGCTGCTCCCTCCCTCCCTCCCTGTGGGATGGGGGAGAGAATTGGAGGAGTAAAAGTGAGAAAACTCAGGGGTTGAGATGAAGACAGTTTCATAGGGAAAGCAAAAGCCACGCACGCAAGCAAAGCAAACAAAGGAATTCATTCCCCACTTCCCAAGGGCAGGCAGGTGTTCAGCCATCTCCAGGAAAGCAGGGCTTCGCCATGGGTAATGATGACTTGGGAAGGCAAACGCCATCACTCTGAACGTTCCCCCCTTCCTTCTTCTTCCCCCAGCTTTATCGGCTGATCATGATGTCATATGGTCTGGGATATTCCTTTGGTCAGTTGGGGTCAGCTGAAGCAGAAAAGGCCTTGACTATGTAAGCACTGCTCAGCAGTAATGAAAACACCTCTGTATTATCAACACTGTTTTCAGCACAATTCTAAAACATAGCCCCATACTAGCTACTATGAAAAAAAATAACTCTATCCCCGCCAAAACCAGCACAAAGGGGTTTTGATATACTACCTTGTCAGCCTACATTGTAGTCTGAGAGTAGGCAATAGCCGGATATTCCTCTTAGTCTCTTTTGTACCAATCCCCTGGGAGTGCTCAATGCTTTCTTCTTTCTTCCTTGTCCAGTCTCAGATCTTCAAAAGTGCCTTTTCCATGTAGACAATTCAATCATATTTATAAAGTTATTTGTTGCAGTCAGCTGAAAGTTTGCCCCTGTTTATCTCTCTCCCATGTGTTGTTATTGTATAAATATACTTGCATTACAGATGTACACACCTGATGCTATCTGCGTTGCTGTGGGTATTCATGTGGAAAAACAAGTATGTTGTTTTTTCTTCTGATATCTCAGCAGCTCTATATAAAGCAACCAATTAAGTTTAAAGTGCATTATATTACTAGTTAGAGTATTGTCTTCTAGCCTCCCACCACAGTTCACTCTTCACAGCTAATCTCAGGGTCCATCCATAGTCACTATATCTGCTATCATTAAGTGATATTTTAGTATGGGAAAATGAACACAAGTAAAGCAGAAATATAATGCAATGTGCTTTTTTTTTTCGTGGAGAAGCGATTATTTCAAACATTTAATTCAAAATGTTGCAGAGCTTTTGCCTAGCAGCAAAGAACTAAATTAGAAGTATCCTATAGCAACAGTTCATTCCCTATACTTAGGAATAGATCCAGGAAAGTGAATGAGGCCATGTTCATTAAAGACAGACTAGAAAGCTGGAAAATTGTGCAACTTTCACGTCACCTCAGCATGCTACTATTATCAGTACAAGGCTGTAAGTCCTCAGGGTTTGGGTACAGACTGATCACCATTCCTAACTCTACATGTATTCCATGTCAAATATACTTTATGGCCTAAATAAGTACCACGTTCCTTCATGAGCATGCACATTTTCCAGTATCCAGAAATGACTGTAGGATCTCTCATCTTTTAGTTTCACCTTGGCAATGACTGTACTCAGGTGAATAGCACTTAATTCACAGAGGACTGCCAGAAGCACATACTTAATATTCTTAGGGATAGTCCTGAAGAGGTGATATTCCTTATCTAAGAAGAATCAGGAAATTCTTGAAAAAAATGTCATCAAGGAACAGTTGTCTCTTTCTGTGTACTGTAAATGATCTTTTAGACCAGGAAAGACCTGTGTTGTTCTTGGTCTGTGTTCCCCAGATAGTTAACAAGGTTGACTAACAGCTACTTTGGAACTGTGTAATAACATATTACCTGCAGATTATGCCTGTACGTATGGGCCAAATGCTGACCAGCGCTGCCTCCCACTAGACCTGAGGGTTAGCGGAAGAAACCGTGATAGTATGAAATGAATAACCCCAGCCATGTTCAGCATCTTCTGCACTGCTCTGGTGATGGGCCCTTATTAGAAGGACCCAATTGTCCAACTAGTCTGAGACTACATTATAGACTGCTGATCCCTGCATTAAACATGTAATTTCTATGAATTTTAAAGATGCACTTTTTGAAGAACAAAGCAGCAACAGCCAGAAATTCATAGAAGAGGAAAGCTTACAACTGTTAAGGAAAATGTTATTTATTTATTAACTAAAGTACAATCCATTCTAAATAAAGGGTAAAGGTCCATATATTGCATGTATGCACTTAAAAATGCATATATTCTCATATTTCTTACTCTATTTGTTTTGTGGGAAGTCTTAGTTTGTATGTCAGCTTCAGCTTACATATTCACTTTTTTACCTAGACACTCAAAGTGTAGGATTAGCTTTGATCCTAAGGATAAATGCGTATACCAGGAAGTGAGAGGGAAGCAAAAGTTCTGCTTAGCCATTTGGTCCCTTGTTGCCTCCATCACTCCACAGTTCCCTTAGTAACTTTATCTTTCCCATTGTTAGATTTCCACTGTGCTTCAGTCCGAAACCCCTTTTTCTGACTCTTAGGCTATATCTATGAAACAGGTAAATTTAGTGTCTGTCAAATTTATAGTACATGCACACCTTTCCTTTGCTTGCAAGCTTCTGAGTCTGACTTAAGCAGGTGTGTTTCTCGCATCATTCACAGAAGGTCAGAAACTTCAGTGTGAACAATTACCATTTTACATTTATATATTTAGAGGCTAAGCATTCCTCATAACCAAATCAATACACATCTTCATTGAGATGTATTACTTAGGTCAGTTATTGCATACACAATATACTTTCCCTTTCACCAGCCCTTTGAAGGAGCATTTAGAGGACGTGCCATGCAATGCTCTTCTCAACCAACACTTCAAAATTTGAGTCTTATCCTTTCTAGAGAGACATGAGGAAAAGAGTCTCTTTTCTACTTCCCTTCTCTTTCTCAGCCACAGTAAGCTAACACCATTTTTTTTCTTCATCTCTCTGATTCAGGTACATTTTGCCTGATACTAAAAAATAATGCACGTTATTCTTCACATTCTGAATTAAAAAAGGAATGAAATATCAGGCAATTTTCTTTGCTTATGATTCATGTCTTGCTCTCACAGACTTGTGCGTGCTGACACTT